CAATAATAAATTTTGCTAAGCCACTTTATCAAATGATTTTCATATGATCAATATTTTATCACGTGCTATTGCTTATTTATTATCACGTGATTAGCTTATTATGTGTAATCTAAAATTTTCATTAACCTCCTTATCCCTAAGATATTAGGTAATATCTATCACTGCTCTTATCTAATATCACATTTCAAAGATCATAAATTCGCATTTATATCTTCATGTTAGGCTTCAATATCAATTACTAATACTTTTATTTATGAAAGTAAACAAAAATCTTTGAATGCTGTTGCGACCTAAAATGTATCTAATATTAGTTTCTCAAAGCTTATTTGACAAATAATTTAATATTACATCACAGAATCAGATTAGGTTTCCATTTTCATAAAGCTTTAAGTGTCAGCAAAATGTTTAATATGTAGCTATTTTATATGCTAATATATAGTATAAAACTAGTTACTGCTGTACAAGAAGTAATAATATTACACTAGAAAACCTAAAAAAGCATATTATCATATCTATATATTCATCATAAAAATAGTTTATTGCCTTACCCATTTAGCTAATTTTTTCCTGATACTAAAACTTTGAAGCTTCTTTATTCGCTTAATATCCTCTAAGGGGACTTGTTCTAAAACTTGCTTCAAACCATTTTCAAAATTCTCCACCTTCTTTTTAAGATTATCTATCCATTCACCTTCTTCTATTCATATAAATAATGCTATAGAAATTCTGATGATATCAAGAGGTTCTCTTATTAAAAGGAATTCTTTTATGTTTTGATAGAATAAAAAGTTAATATTAGTGTAAAGCTTACTAGGCAAAGTAAAAAAATAATGCACAGTAAATTCCAATACTTTTTCACTATATTGCCTTTTTATTTACCTTGTAAACTCTTTTTACATCTTTTCTAACTCACATTTATGTTAGAAAAAGAGATAGAAGAAATATGGGAGACACTTTATACTGAAATTTTGTATTTGAGAATAAGGACATGCAGAATGTACATTAAAGATCTTGACTTTTAGAATAGTGTTAGAGATAATGCATATATGAACTTTTTTTCACCTAACTGCTCAGTAATAAAGACCTAATAACATTATATAAATATACTCTGATCAAAATCTAGTAGGAATAAGTTGTAGGAATAACCTGTAGCTTTAAAAAAATAAACTCATAAATAAATGCCCACTCCTTCAAAAATAATTTTTTTTTCAGAATGAAAAAACTAATTCATCACGCAGATTGATAAATCAAGAGGTATCACATAAGTAGTCATATAGAGTTATAGCTGATTTAGGTGGTGTATCATCTATTACATCATATATACTTTAATAAGGATCTAAAATATGCTAATTTATGTCACACATACCTTTATGTATTATGGCTGGATAATATATTATTTTATTAATATAATATTCAGGATTTGGATCAAGGTTTGATCTGAAAAATTTAGCATATAAACTTACAATTATCATCTAAGTCTGTGAAATTTACAGTAATATCCTTTCTGTAAATATAATATATGCATTTTAACGATAAATTACATATAAATTTCATTTCTGATGATTTAATCTTATATATCTTATATTCTAAAATTCTGATGAAGTATACAAAATTATACTTTTTATGAATACTATAATATCTGGGATTCCGTAGCCATTTTAACATGTCAAGCCAATATGTATTTTTAATAACTATATAGTCTTGCTGATATAATAATTTCTTAATAAGTATAAATATTACAAAAGATAATCGTTATCATAATTGGACTTTCTTCTCATATATCCAACTATTTTTTGCTGAAAAGTAATATTCTTTATACCAAATTTGTTCTGAAGGATTATATCCTTCATTTTTTATATCTAAAAATTTCATATCATTAGGAATACCATCATTTCTTACCGTCTTCCAAACTCATTTTACCAAAGATTCAGATTTTTTCTTGTAATTTTTATAAGTTTACTGAATAACTGTTATATAGAAATTTTCAAACTGATAGTTATATTGTCTCATAATCAAGAATTTCCAAGATTGCTTCATTGATCTTTCTGAAATAATACTTCATTATAGATTAAAGAATCTAACTTAGAATAGCAAATCAGATTTTTATTTTGCAAATAATACATTTTACAGGTGATCATCTATAAAAAATTATACAGTAAAAAAAATAATATATGAATATAATTGAAATAAATACTATAGTTAAAATATTTCTCTGAATCAATCAGTCAAACTGATTAATCAATTGTAATTTTTATCCTATCTCTTAATCTTAATATAAAATTTTTGTAGATAGTAGGATCCCAAAGGAACCTAGTAAGTTATTTTGTTTTACATATTAAGATGAGATAAATATTTTGCTTATATTGCTTTTGGATTCTGATGATTAATAAAAAGTTAGTAGAATTATTTCTTGCCTGGTAGGTAAAATATAAGCTGACTCAAAATTTGAAGCATTTGGCATAGTATTTTTACTATAATTGCTTTAACCTACGCATAAGCTTTATAGAGAATTGTATGAATATCATAATCATATAATATTGATGCCAATTTATCCTATTCTGAGTGTAAGATAGATGAGAAGAAAAGCTCTAGATAAAGATGATTAATTTTAGCCTCTTCTTATAATATGTATTATTTATATTATCAGATCTAAAATTCTCTTCTATCAATAGATTTGAGAATTTCATTTCTTCTTGCATATTCATTTGAAATAGTATTTTGAAAATACATCTTTTCAAGTAGTTATCTTGATATGAATCAACTCTACAACCATTTTCAGGTATAAAAACTAAGGAGTCGAATATACTATAATATATGTAATTTGATAGAAGACTATAGACTTTATCATATTTATATAACTTTTTATACATTATAATATATTCATTCTTAGAAAGAATTTTTGGGTTCTCTTCAAGTATTTTTCTAAATGGATTATGAATATAAGAGCATTACATTTCTGGTATTTCATGATCATATCGTTTACTTAAAAAATATAATGTTTTTAATATTCTTCTATATTCTTTGAAGTTTACATTATTATAGCCTACCAAAACTAGCTTATATTGGGCTCTACTATCTAAATCCATAATAGTGTTTTAGTGAATTATAACAGATTATAATAATTTTTATAGTGTTTTTAGTGATTTTAGCAATTTCACTGTTTTTTATCAATTTATAGTGATTTATAACAGTTTATAACAACTATATTATAATAAAATATCAGATTCATTTTTATTCGATTATAAGTATATCTGGATTTATATAGGATCATATCTCAGGCTAAGCTAATTTTATATTTACATGCATATACACAATACCTAGTTAAATCAGTTTGTAGCATGATATATATTATATCACATGTATCTTCCTAGATCCTTGCCAGTTTTTTAATAGTTCTAGAAGAGTTTCAGGAGTTAATGAGTTTTATAAATCATGAGATGATTGGCCAATCAGATTTTACTATCCTTAATCTTATTGATATGATAGCTAAACTACCATTATTATTTAATTAAATCATTACATTGATTAATTAATTTGCATTGCAATGATCATAACACATTACTCAATATTTTTTATATAATAGTTCTAGAGAATCTTTACACTATGTAGTCAACTATAGAGTTTTCTGACATCTAACTTTATATTCTCATTAACGAATGAAAAAATAGAAATGTAGAGTATTATACTACTACAAATAAAAAGAAGTATTTCTTTTGAAACGAGATTATGGAAAAAATAAATAATCAAGAAAATACTAATTATTTCACTGGTGACACTTACCATAAAAAATTCTTAGGTCTTATAAAGTTTTTTACATAAATAGCAATTACTTAGATTCTATGAGACATCTTATAGCAAAATATGCTTATTATTAATTTATTAGACGATAAAAAAATATAAAAAAGATACCAGAGATAAGAAGAGCTTAGTTAGAAAGAAAATATACGAAGAATTTTTAACGTTATTCTAATTAAAGCCTGGTATATTTCTATGAAAGATATTTTTCGTGTCTGTTTATTAACACAATCTAATTTACTAGAATTATCCTTCAATTAATAATATAATGAGAGTATTAGAAAAAAAGTGAGACAAGTTCATCTTTCTCTTCAAAACAACCTGAGTGCTTTTCAGGAGAATTATCATCTCCAAAAGTCATTAAAAATTCTAAAAAAATACTGGTAATATCATCAATTGTCAAACCTTCTATCTCTACCTTTGGCACTTTTAACAGACTAAATACACCTATTCTCTTATCCTTCTTTCAAAATGCAAATATTATTAATATTATTATTAATAATAATTTTACTAATGCTTCAGAAGAAGACTAGAGTTTTTTCATTTCTCTAATATTTACTGCTATCTGCTAATGCAAAACATTTATAGCTGCAATAAAACAAAAGCAAATGTAATATTTATTAATTTTAATTGTATAATAAAAAATATATTTATTGATTAAAAAACACTAGGTAAGACTATTTAAAATGAAAAGTACTTTTATTGTAAAAGCTGTTCAAGCTGAAAAAAAAGCTAAGTGCTTGAATATAAGAGTTTAACATATAATAAGATTTGTTATCTCTTCATTCGCTACAAATTTATCTATTATATTTCTATTTATCAATTATGAGAATAAAAAAGATCATACAGACTAAAAATGACTATTAAATGACATATCTATAAATTTATCTAATATGATCTCATATCAGCTATAAAATCACATGCTAAGAATTTCTATTGAAGGAAAGTATGACATATGGATTGTACGTATAATTAAACATAAAAAAAACATAAAAAGACATAAAAAGACATAATAAAACACTAAAGATGTTTTGCATATTTATGATGTCCCAGTCTTTGGTAATTTTGATTTTATGAAGTTGATATCGTCTTCATTAAAAATTGAGAACTAGTCTACAGAAAATGAACAAACAAATTGAATTTTAAATAGATTATTACTAAAAATTTTAACTATTTTTCTAGCCTTTTTAATTTTATCTTTTATTATGGTTAGAGAAATACCAGCTGGTAAATATTCCTAAACCTCTGTATTTAACTTATATTGTGTCCTCTTCTACCCTTTCCTTATTAATTCATTGAGACAAAAGGTTAGTGCTAAACCAAATTCGTAATAGCAATAGATGGCATTAGAATCAGCCTTGTTGACTCTTTGAGATAATTTTCGTAAAATTACTGAGGGCTGGTTCTGAGAGATTACTTCTGATGAATTGCTATCAATTTCTATCACTTCAGTTAACACTTTATATATAAAAGCTAACAATCTTTCTTCTTTATTTATATTTTTCTAACTGAGTTGCTCAAGCTGTTTGATAACATTGTTTTAGCATTCTGAATATCATTTTTTACAGATTAAAGATGCATTGCAACAACTAATGTGAAAAATATGACTACATTGAAACATCACATGTAAGTTTATAATTTTTCTTTTACAAGCCAAATAAGATTTAGCTCTCTGGAAAGGTTCAGAAAAAGGTGAGGAGCCACTCTATGACCCAAACTCATTAGAAGTAATGCGATCGATTTCTGAGATACCATTAAAGTAAAAAAAGTCTATGTTAACCTATTTATAATTACGATACTATGGTAAGGGTTGAATTGATAAACCGGGTAAGAAAATAAGTTAGCATATCATATCATATGATAATTGTGAAGATTTTTCTTACTATCAATCAATAGAAGCAGGATTTATCAATTAATCATATTCGTTAAATACACTTTGCTTATCATTTTATATGATATAATAAATAAGCAATTAGTAAAAAAATAATTTTCTCTTTTTTTTTATTTATGGGAGAATATGTGTAAAAAATACATGTGAAAATAAATCAAAAGTTTTACTATAGCTTGTGATACATGCTATGTCATATGATAACCATGAAGACTCTTCTCACTTCTAACCAATAGAAATATAAGATCTACTGGTTAAGATTTTAATGACGTATACAACGCAATATATACTACAGTATATATGATGAAAGTTCAGAAAAAAGAAACCACCTGTCAAAAGGCTTGGCAAGAATTTTCTGATATCATACTGTACATTTTAAATGATCAGTCTTACATGATGAAGTTTTCGTCTATGCTTTCACATTTACTATTGGGATTCCACACTGAAGGATATTCCAGCATGTGAGATGATAAGTTTATTCTCTATAATATTCACTTGAACCCTATTCACCCTTTATATTTTTCTACATAATTTCTTTATGATCTCCATTGCATATGAGACAGATTGCTAAACTGTTAAGATTAAATCTGTGCCACATTTGTCGCTATCCCTTAAAGATAGGAAAGGGAACTGCTTTAGCACCAACCCAATGATATGTTTTTGCTTTGAGATCTTTAGGTAAGATAGAAATTGGGTGTCTGGATCTGTTAGATGATCTTGTCTCACTGGAGGAAGTTGTAAATGGTATACTTGCTTGAGATGCGACTGATGTACCCATCTTTTCATTAGGTAACTTTCCACCTAAAGTGTTAGAAACAGATGTTTCAAAGTAATAGATGTATTTGCCAGTGATTTGAAGTGCAGTTGGCGCATTTACTTCAGGCAAGATTTTTTCGATCCAATGTTGGCGAAATTTCTGTCTTAGTAAAAGAATTAGAATTTTGAGTTCCTCATTAGTAATTTTTGAGATAGAATTTGCGCTATAACGGTTGATAAATTTGTTCTTTCTATTGTGATAAGTATTAGTCCTTCATGTGCTTAAACATCCCTCCATTATTATCCTCCTATACAAGTTCTCATTCAAGATCTTTCAAAAAAGAATAGGTTTATAATTCGCCACCATGTGAGGAGAAATGAACACATTCCCGAATAAGAGGAACTGAATGAAATATTACAGTTGACAAATATGAAATATGTTCATCGACCAATAAATTTTGGATTATTTGAATCAGTCCAATCATTTTCTGTATCACCGTCGTATCGTTTATTATTCCCTTTTCAAATTCGTTACCTTTTTTTTGTTCGTTCGTGTCTAGGCACAAAAATCAATTGCTATGGTTGACATTTCTCTTAACTGTCTTCACGTTCAAGGTGAAGAAAATTATGAATTTACTATTATTACCAACACAGAAAATTCTGTCGAAAAATTTAAAAAAATATTAAAGAGAAAATTAAAAGGGCAGGGGAGGATATTTTCAACGATATTGAGGCCGATCAGTTAACGCTTTGGCAAGTATGTGTTGACTATAGTGATGAAAAAGAATTTTCGAGCTTTACCTCAGATAGCATAAATTTAAAAAAGCTCGAAGGAATTATTGGTGATTACTGGACGGAGCAACCTCCTAAAGAGTTTATTCATGTCATTGTCTACGTTCCATATTTAACCATTTTACGAATGCTGGATAGTCTAACGATATTGAGTCAAGGTAGGTCTAGCTGACCGCTTTTTTTAATCATATAGTTGTAATTCAAGCGAGATATATTATAAAGCTCGATAAAAATCATTTATTTCTGTAGCTGTAGCTTTTAAAGATTACACAAACATATCTCTACAACAGCTTTATGACGAACAATATATCAAACAAGGAAATATATTGTTTTACAATAGAACCTACAAAGATGTAGAATTTACACACAAATGCAAGGTTTGTATTATTACCACTCTTATTATAAAACGTTATAACAAGTTCTTTCTAGATTTGGCTTAACATAATTTTTTTGGATCAGATTAAAAATATTTACAATATTAGGAAACTCTCGGTCATTTTTACTTTTGCCAACAATAAGGAAATGTTAATGTCATTTGATAGTTTAACTGAGCTCGAACTGTATATTCTCAAATCGAATGATCGTTTTAAAAACATTAAACGGGCTTCTGGAAATGCCTATGATTGGTTTTTCATCATAGATAAGGATGTGAATAAAGGAAGCATTACTGAATTAAGAAAACAACACGTTAAAAACAAAATAAATCCGACAGGTTAGTACGTTAGAATATTAACGAATAAGAATTATCTTCTAACATATTATGATAGACAGAGAAAAAAAAGAAAAAGAGGAAGCGGAAAAAAAAAAAAAGATAAATATGGATCCAGAGAAGCTTGGTGAACGTGATATTCTCCCAGTCAGAGACTCTATTCGATTTAAATTGCTTAATAAGGCTAAAAATGAGTTTCTGAAGAGATATGATAAGAAAATTCCATTTTCTTGTGTAATTGAAGGATTAGTAGATGATAAGGAAGTTCTTGTTGCCTTCGTGGATCAATCAGAAGGGACACTTGTCCACTTACCAGCTGAATTTGAGAGCTTTCCTGTGTTGATTTCCTATGAAGCTCTTGAATTATACCATCGTTCATATCACAAAGACCTTATACCTGGCATAAGCATCGGTAAACAAGATGAACATTAAATGCAATTACACTTGGTCCTTTATTTCAAAATACTGCAGTATCCAATAAAACATTTATATTAACTGCAAAGCATGGCGTGGGAAAGGAGGATGAAAAAGTGGTTCAACCGGGAACACTCGATGAGGTTTGATATGTTGTGATTTTTTTACTTCTATTATTATTTTCTGATTGACAGTTTTAATGATAAGGTTAACGCAAGCGTATGTGCTAAGGTCACAAGGTACAATTTTATTGGAGCTGATTCGGCTTTGTCATTATCTTGATTATGCTTTTTGTGAAACTGTGAAGGATCGAGAAATTCCAAAATTACCAAACGTGCCGTTTAAACAACATATCCAAATTCGTAGTATCAAGACCTCTGTAAATAATAATGATGATTTTGTAAATGTTAAGAAGGTTGGAGAACCACTTTCCTCAGAGAAGGGTTAATACAAGATATATGGATGCCCTTTTATCCTCCTATTGTCAAAAAGAAAAAGGTAAAAAAAAAAACCTAAAGAAAGAAGTCAAAGGTTTGCATTGCAAAGTTTTTGGTATTAATCGACAAACATTTTGTAAGTTGACGGATTTAATATTAGCATTCTATTTTGTTTTCCTTTGAAATTATTCATATTTTAATCTATTTACAGCCGAAAGTGGGGACTCCGGTTCACCAGTATTTGATAATGATGGTAAATTATGGGGGATCGTTATTGCGGGAATTAGTAGGTATCTTATGTAATCCTATTCATTTGATTTTGGATAATGTTAAAGAAAAATTTAATGTGATATTCACTTTAAAAAAAGAACTGAAGGAAAAAGAACCGGAGGAAAAAGAACTGGAGGAATCTTAAATGGACGTTCTCAAAAGACACAATGCTTTTATTTTAATTTTAATAGATTTTTATACAGTTTTTGCAAATTTTTTACTATAGTTTATTTTCAAAATAAAAATTCACATACTGCTAATTCCTATTCGTGTTTTGTACAAGTTGATCAACGGAAATAAAACATTATTCCAAAGATGGTGATAATATGTGATTAGCCTGTATATGTAATTTGAATGGGCTAGTATCAATAGGGTGATAAAAATTTACCGTTTCATCTAAGGATCTGTAAATCATAAATTCTAATCGTTCAATTTCCATTTTTGTTTCATTTGCCAGGTTTACATAAAGTATAGATAACGTCTATATGGCAAAAACGCATTTCAGGTGATCCAAGTCCAGTGATCTTAGCAATGTTCTCGTCTAAATCTCAGGTTCCATTTCGAAGACCTTTTTACACTATATACAAACATTCAAATAAAATATATCACATATTTTTGGGTGACAGGCCGTCACTGAAAATTGCCAAGAAATTTTTATTAATTAATATATGCAAAAAATAAATACAAAGTTCGGGACGTAGCCCGTGATACATATTATTTGTTGATTAATTTTTCGATTCTAGTCCTCTTACTAGTTGGGGAACTATCAACACTAACCCTATCTTTCAGTAGCCTAACAATTATACCTATTACCCTTTTCACATTGCTTCGAAATAAATCAGGATTTTCTTTGATTGCAGTCTTCGTAAGATTAATTTGGTATTCACTACCGCTTGTACAGGAAATACCGTCTGGAGTATATATTATAAAATGCCACTCCGTACCCATAGTCACAATGCCATAAAGATAGCCAAATAATCTTCATTAAATGCTTGATCTGCTGTTCGTTTTTTCTTATTTGTTTGGAATGCATTTTCAGATTCTAAAAAATATAATACATCACTCTTTAGTCTTCTTATTCCAAAGCCAGTAGACTAAGAAGACAAACAGTCCTACCTGGGCATATCTAATCTTAATATTACGTGATTTCCTTTCGGTGATGCAAAGAAGATCTTCTAGATTTTTGATTGCGTAATCTACTCAGCCTGTCGCATCTTCATCAGAAATATCTTTTTGTAAAACTATAAATATATTTTGAGAGGTGAGTTTTTTGGAGATAGCAAATGACACATATAATATAGCTGAAATAAATTCACAGCACATTGCCTCGTTAGCATCAGTCATGGTCTTCACGTTCAAAAGTTTTAAGATAATATCCTTCATACAGTATTTGAATGCTTTATCATCATCACTAATCTCCTTGAAGACTATAGAGAAAAATAAAGTTAATATAGCTATCTAGTCGATTTGAAAATTAATTAATTATCTACTGGAAGTAAACTGCTTGATGTTTGTTATATCTTTCCCGTTCACCTTATTTTTATGTAACATTTTCTTTAAGTCATCGAAAGTTTTAAGCAAAAAATAGTTTTGTAACTTCTGGCTAAGACCTTTAATGAATTCTGTGAAAACTGTTGCTGAACCTAACGCAAAACCAATACTGTGAAAGTCCTCTTTAGTTAATTTAAGAAAGACTAGACCGGTGATTTCTTTCTTATGTAAAATTTTAAAGTGAAATTCCTTGAGCTTTAGGTCTTTCCTCTCAAAAAATCGATAAGCTTCTCTATATTAAAATCTTTAACCACATCTGATATTGTTTGAAAAGAAACTTCTTCTGTTATTGAGACGGGTGAAGCAGGTGAAAAAGCTTATGAAGACATGGTTTTTATATATATAGGTTTGTACTTGTGAAAAAATATGCATTCAACTGTAATTATAGGTAAAACTGATTTATGAATATAAAGTATTTTGGTTTCTGAAGTAAAGCACTCAGATAGAAATGATAGATTTTTTTTGTATCGATTCATAATGTATTTATCTAATATATATGCAATTAAATTATAGTACAGGATTGTTAGGCGATTATATTACATGTGATATTTTTCAAGATTTTACAAGAACGTAATATATGCTTTATTTAAGAAATAAAAAAAACATTGACAGAGCAACTAATACATAAAAAATAAATTTGCAAATATATCGCTATTACATAAATATAGATAAAATATCCTTAATTTTCATTAAGGGAAAGAATTCAGATGTGGATACGGTATTCATCATCATGTGTCCCATTAAAATAGGAGAAAATCCTATCTTCTGTTCATATAGGCTTTTCTTCAGGATAAATTTGACAGAAAAAGTTGTTACGATTGATTAACCTCAGCTTCTTTCTTACTTCTTCTTCAAGATCTGAGACTTTTTTATCCTTAGAAATTTCAATCACAAAAAGTATATTTTTATTTTTCACATTATGATAACGGAAGTTAAAACTGATTATATCATTATCTATGCTGATAGATATTTTGTTTTCCTAAATAAAAGAACTCATAATGAGAACTTCACTTCTATATATATATAACTTTTAGCATATACATACCTCAATTTTTCATGGAAATGTTAGCTGAACTTTCACATACTCCTTCATGCTTTATATCATGCTAGAAAAAAGAGCATCAAGCTGAAGTTAAGGAGGTATAGGTGTAATTAGTATTGTTATCATTCTCCTAAGAAACCATAAAAGCACATGTAAACGGAATCCTTATACCTTTTCACATATAGATTTACTGGAGTAATACAAAGGTAGTTAGTTCTTGTTGATCTCAAAATTACAAAATTCTTAGCCTTTCATAACATATGCTTTGTCATTACTATTAACTTATAGGATAGGTACTATATTGCATATAGACTTCCTTTCACATTTTCTCACATTTGTTTAAGGTAAAATAGAGGTATTGGTTAGCATATATATATTTTTTTCTTTATATGTAAAATTTAATATGTTACATAAACCTATTATGTAATCCAGCCTATTTTTATCATATATGAGTACATGCATTAGCTGAACTATTAAGGTGCTTCACAAGACGCTATGCATGACTCAGCAAATTCTTCTGAACTAGCGATCATTACTCTGGATTGATGAGCACTATTCTGGACTCTAAATTAAATATATGCTAACCAAAGGTAAATACAATCATGACAAGCAATATTAATAATAATTCTGATTAAGTCAATGCTCAATTATATAATGAGCTTTTATATAAGAAGAAAGATATAATAACTATTCAGAAAAAACCTGGTATGTTTTCAAATTTGAGAAAGGAACCTATTGAGAGTAGAAATTAAATAGCATTAAATTAAAACAAAAAAGGAAAAATACTTAAAGATTCATTTAGACTGTTATTTGATTTAGTAAGAGAATTAATAGATATACAGGAAGATCTCAATGTAAATTGCTACCCTGTTCTTACTATATTATATAATAATATATATGATCTTAAGGGAGAAATATATGGGAAAAGGTCACTTGAGACATTATATTATTTGTTTTTATATTTGGAAGAGAATATAAATATGATTCAAAATATTTTTTGTATTATTAATCATTCTAATCAGAAAATAAGTAGATTAAAAGAAGTTAAATAAAAAAAATAAAAAATAAAAAAAATTGCAAAAATTATAATAAAAAAATTAAAAATTAAAAAAGATCGTAAAAATTAAAATTAAAAATAAAAATAATAAAAAATTAAAATTAATTTCTTCTATCCCTCCTCCTATCTCTCCTTCTGTTTTTCTTATTCCTTCTATTTCTTCTTCTTGATTCACTTCTATATCTACTTCTGCTTTTTCTTAATCTATTTCTTCCTCTACTTCTTGATCTACTTAAACTACTGCTACTTTTTCCTCTACTTTTTCCTCTTCTATTTTTTCTTCCTCTACTTTGATTTCTATACTCGAGTTATCTTTTATTTACCTGTTGCCTAATATAGGATTTTCTTATAGGATTTAAAAATAAAAAATTAATTAATATATATATTAAATAAAACAAATAATAAAATTTATTAAATTATCATAATTACTTTGAGGCAACTAAAATTCCTCTTCTATCATCTCATAAAACTCTGTATCTATTAGGACTTCTTAATGGAAGTCCTTCAGGATTTTCTATTCTGATTTTTCTTAAATTTTTATACTCACAAATTAGCACGTTTCACTTAATCTGGCATTGTCTTTCAGAGACTGATATGGGATTATTTGTACTAATTTATTGGGATATTTGATTCCAAATACTAGCATATTCATTATTGCTTATATTTTCAAATTCTGCTTGATAATTATATCTTAAATTAATTAAATCTTGAATCATATTGAAGGTTCAAATACTTGCTAACGTTTTTGAATTTTTTTTAATAAGTAAGTTATAAAAAACTTATAGATATTTATATACAAAAAAATTATTAAATCATATTATTATCATCTTTACATTTATTACAAAAGTCAAAATTTGAAATCAAATATAATACTTGTATAATGCAGATTTGTTATTATAAAAAATTATTTCTGTATTGAAATTTTAATACATTTAAGAAAAATATTAATAAAAATTTTTACTAATAAAAGAGACATTCCTGTATAATTATATATTAATTGCATTTAAAAATTTTAAATTATCATTCCTGCATAATTATTTTATTAAAACTTTTAATACATTTAAGAAAAATATTTTTATTAATTAAACAAAAATTTTTACTAATAAAAGGGATCATATACCTAATTCAGATACTTTAGATGATTGTTCATTAGAATAATAAAAAATATCACTTTTAAAATTTTAAATTACCAAATATATCAGTTAATTGTTATATAAAATCATTTTTGCATAATTAGGTTAAAAAAAAATTATTAAAATTCATTAATTAAATAAAGTTTTAGACTAAAAGAATTAATTTTTAAACTTTACCTAAAAAGATTCAAAATAATTAATTTGATATAATGGATGATTTACTTTAAATCTATTTATTTTTTATATTCTTTTGACTGCACTTACATGATATTCACTATATCATTGATCTTTTATGATTTTTAGCAAATTTAACTTTAATTTCATGATCTGATAAGGTAATTTTATAAAATCAATATTGTTAATATGCAATCCTTACAAATTGTGATAGTTAGATGGGTATTTGAGTAGTGATTCTTTTAAGTTTACGTAGTAACCTAATAGTTGTCTCAGTAAGTTAATGGTTCTTTTATATACTGCAAAGTATATTCACATCTCAGTTAATTAAATTTTGTTATATATTGAAAAATATATTCAAACCTACGATGAATGTATGATTCATCTACTATATACTATCCAATGTATTCAATACATTATCAAGTATATTTCTATATGTTAAGTTAAAATTAAACGTGAATTATGTTATAAATACAAATGTCACAAAATATTTTAAATAAATCGAATAAAGATTTATTGGTAAATAAATAAACTAAAAGCTAAAAATACTAAACTAAGGGAATATAAAAGAAGAATTAATCACAAAATAGAAAAAAGTAACCTTACGCTACTTTATAAAAAGGGGTTATACATGGTTATTACTGAATTGATCAGATTGCATCTAGCAATTGATAGTTACCTTCTTGTCAAGAATTTAGTCTTCTTTATATACTTTTTTTTAATATAAATCTAATATATCATATATGTTAGGTATGTCTAATATATCAAATATATCAGATATGTCAAATATATCAAATATGTCTAGTATATTAAATATATCAAATATGTCTGATATGTCTGACATTTAGATCTGCAACATTCTTGTGTTACATAAATTAAATATATCTATAAAGTCAATCCTATTAACTACGTCACTTATATAACTATTTATAAATGCATTATGTAGATTAATTATATTATAATAGTCCTGTTACAATATATAATGAATATCCTTTTTAACTCCATAAGGAATAATTATTTCTTCTTCTTTATGGATTCTACAAAATTCATATTATTTAATTGCAGTATGAATAGACTCTATTATATAAAATTTAAGAATTAGCTTTATTTTTTTTTAATAAAAAACATTAAATTAAAATTATAATACTTACTTTTTCTAGTTGAAATATTATTTAAATATTTTAAAACTTTTTCTGGTAACAAGTTTGATAAAATTTCATAGCAATAAAGACATTTATCTTTATTTTTATTTTCTTCTGATATAAAATTAATATTATTAATATAAAGTCAAATGCTTAAAATATTTGAATAAAATTTTTTAAAAATATATCTAAATTTAATTTATTAAAGAAAAAATCAGATTCAAAAAAACTTGAAAGGATTGAGAAGAAAATAAGATGTAAAATTGTAAAGAAATAATAGTAAGGGTTTGAATTTCATATGGATGCTTTGCAGTAGAAAGCGAGGAAATTATCAAAAAAATTTTTTTTAAGTTAATGTTAAATCTGGATTTATTTTACTAAAAAAATAATATTTAGCTTAAAAAGTAAAAAAAATTTTTTTGGTAGTTTTCTTTCTTTTTACAGTTAACTCTTGTTATAACGAATTTTATATTTTAGACCTCAACTTCGCTATAAGGCTATAGTGAAGATTTTAAGAGATTTGATTAGCCAATTCACTATAATATTAACGTGCAATCCTTGCGAATTGCAACTGTTAGACGGGGTGTTCGAGTGGTGATTCTTTTAAGTTTACGTAGTGACTCAATTCAGTTTAACTTAAGATTTATAAGATACACAGTAGTGTATTCACGACAAGGTTAGGAGTAAAGCAGCTCAATTGATTCAGCGGTATAATAATATATTTATTGATGATAATAAAAGTAAAGATAAGAGATAATAATAGAAAAATAAGAAGATAAGAAAGAATACGAAAATCAAAAGAGTTAAAGTACTAGGTGAGACGTTAGGCCAGACACCTCTACAAGAACTACTAGATGTGTATCTAAAAGCAAAACCAAAAGAAAACTAAAAGTGAATTACAAGCGAACTACTATTTATATGATTCTATTGCTCTCTATTTATATATTAAATTAATACATAGATGGATATAACAAATAAATCAAATATATCTAATATGTCCAATATATCAAAGATATCAATTATATCAAATATGTTCAGTATATCAAATATATCAAATATATCAAATATGTCTGATATGTCTAATATTTAGATCTGCAATATACTGCGTCACGTTCATTAATCTAATCCTGTTACAATAACAAAAGTATTTTTATTATATTTGTTCAAAAAATTCGTTATATTAAGAGTTTATTATATCAAGAGTTGACTGTACTGCAAAATGCCTATATAATAGTTACATTATTTATGTATTTTGCATTTTAGTAAGTATATTTTGCATTTCGATAGATATATTTTGCATTTCAATAGATATATTAATATTTTCTTTGTTTTTTTATTAGATTTAGTTAATTTCTCTATTTCAGTAATTTTTTTATTGGATGGATACCCTTTTTTTATGAATTACTAATGGATTTTTATTATTGACTTAATCTTTGAATTATTACATTATGATAATTGTGTATTTACTTTTTCAATTTAAAAAGTAAATATTTCATTAAAAGAGATATATAAATTTGAAGCTAATGTTAGATTTTGTATTACAAATCGTTAAACTTTTTATAACAATTAAATAAGCATATATTGATAATCTTGTATGTCATTAGAAAATGTTGATAATTGTTCTTATTATAAAATTGTTATTATTATAGTAATTATATGTAAATAAATATTAATATAATTATTGTCAAGTTTTTTTTTACTTGGATTTTTTTTCTATCTTTTATAAAAAAATCTAATTAAAAGTTCATTTAGATTTAACTATATTGCAACTCAAAAAATATGATGACATATAAAATCTAAAAATTGAGTATAACTATAAGTACATGTAAAGTAATTAAAATTAGAATTTTACAATACTTTCATTTGTTTCTTTTTTATATCTTTGAACTTGAAAGATTAATTCAGTATTATTTGTTTATTTATATTTATATTTAAAAAAATTTAAATAAAATACATAATATTTAATTACCAATTATAAAAATTATATTAAAATATATTACTTCGTAATTTCTTCACACTTACATATAAATGATTATATTAATTGTTCTTGAATCTTTTTTTTAGTAAAAAAGTAGTTAAAATAGATGTAGATTAACATTTTAGCAGACTTGTTATTTTATATATAATGTTAAAATTATTTTGTTAATAAATATGAAATTCTGTTTTTTCATTTTATTGTATCTATTGCTGATTGAAATGCAGTAATAAATGTTACAAATGAAGTGCTTACATCTAAGTAATCTTTTATCATATTATTTATAGATTCTTTATATTGAGTTATAGTTATATCTGCTATAAATATATTATAATTATAATATATAGCCCACTTTTCTTTTATTTTTTCCATACGTAATAAATAAATTGATGCAGATGGATAAGATGTTTTGAGTAAATCCTATTAAGAAAGAAAATTTGAAATATTTATTTCACCAAAATATTTATAAAGTTCTTTAATAAATACTAACCAATTTGAATCAAATTTTGCATATAAATTTTTCATTACATTTTTTATTAAATACTATTGACATAAATGGTATTTTATACTAATTGGTTGTAAAATTTTTGTGTAAGCATTTGCAATTATACAATCATCATCAGTAAGGATAACTAATAGTACATATTGAGTTACTATTTTAAGAAATTTACTAAATATCCATATAAAGTTATTTTCAATTTTATCAATCATCAATATACTGACAAAATATATACTATGTTCAATTATTTTCTCTTGTAAAAATGCTAAATAGCATTTAAAACCGATTGGTTTTATGTTTTATCAAATACCACTACATCATTAAATCTACTGTAATTTATATGCTGCTCAGAAAATGTTCATATTACATGTTCTAATCTTTTTATATTATTATTAATATCAGTATAATAATAAAAATCCTCATTATTATACTTAAACTGCTTTAATGTTTCTATAAATTTTTCAGCATTAAATTCTTTTTTTTTTCAAATCTAGAACCTTTCAATTGATAAATAAAGTTATAAATATTATTATATATCTATATAATATAATCATCAAATTTTTCTTTTAAAATAGCATAGATAGTAAGAACATCTGTATCAGTACGACATAATAATTTAATTCGCTGTTTAACATCATCAGGAATACTTCATTAATTAGATATTAAAAATAATGATTTTTATTAACCATTTGGGTTGATTGCTAGAAAAATCAGGTTTCAGGAATTTTTTAGTGAAATTGAGATTTTTATTGTATTTTAATTTTTGATATTATTAGATTAAAATGTATTAAGCTCTTAATTTTAGTCAAAAATTTCTCAGAATCTGATTTTCTAGAAACACTCCCATTTGATGATTATGTATATAATTTATTCTGATAATATACTATAATCCATTTGAATCATCTAGAGAAATACAAATATAAAAGAGTAACTATAATATTAGGACTTTCGATTTAATACTTTGTTGCTTAAATTTTCATCTTCTAAGTTATATTCTTTTGTTTCAAAGTAACTAGCCTGAGAACATAATAATGTTCTTTTTCAAAACTTTTTTTTCTGTAATCATTTCTTCTTTACTTTTTGTAATATTTAAATATTCAACTTTTCAAAATCTAAACCAGGGTTTAGGATTATTATTATAGATCTAGAGATTCAGATTTCTTAACCTAGACTTGTAACCTAATTTGAAAAAAGATTCATATTTCAATATATAGTAAATTCATTGAAAAAATACTGTTTATTTGTTTTACGTGTAGTTGCATACTATTTATTTGTTTTTATGTAGTAAATTTTTTTCAGATAAAAGTTACCCTGTTTATTTTTTGTTTCCATTATATATAAAAAAAATGACTGATACCACACAAACCTATCAACCTCAAGTTAATGATATATTCAAAAGTCATGATAACTTTGTTAATAAAGTCAAAGATTATACATATAAATTTGGCTTTACTATTAGGTTAAGTTTTCTCTTATTTATTATGATCGTCACGTCGATTTTCCATTTTAGAAAATCAAATTTTGATCACGTGAGACCAATTTAATTCACATGATCAAAATTCCGGTTTTTTTTGCAACACACCGTATGTACACCGTATGTCCCTTAATTATACGTGACTTTGCGCGTCACGAAATATTTATTCAATTAATTCCTCTCAATTTATAATTTAAACTTGGAACAACACATCTTACATATATTTCATAATTTTATAACTTTTGTTGATCGAAGTTTTGAAGTTTCGCGCAGCTTATTTGTCTTACAGATAAACCTGAATTAGTTTCATCTCGCACCTCAGAAAATGATAATAATAATAATAATAATAAAAAAAAACTAATTTACAAATCAAGATATATGTATAAAAATGAAATGAGATAATGTAAAAGAATAAAACTGTAGAATAAAAACTCATCATAGAGTAAATTAACGAATAATTGTTAAACTTCAGTCCTATTTGAAAAAAATTAATTAATCAATTAATTATGTTAATTATATTTGAAAATTAAAATAGATGATTATGTAGAATACATAGTTACCATTCTAATCTTCTTTTTGGTTCATTAACAGTTTCAGGTTCTTGCGTTTTGGAAGGTGTTTCCGGGTCTGCAAAAGGATCTGCAAATGGGTCTGTATATGCTGAGTTTTCGATTTTATAACTTGAATTTTTACTAAATAAAACAATTTATATAATTTATTTGTTTCTTCAAATTAGATTATTAAATAATGATTTTTTATTTTTTTAAAAAAAAAGAGAACTTACTTTGAAGAAAATGAATCAAAATCAATAAGATTTCCTTCAGCTTGATTCTTCTTTTTATGATCAAATACATTTTCTTTTTGTTTTTGTAATTTAATACTTTTAACACCAGAAGTAATATTATTCACTTCATTATCTTTTTTACAATATTCCGAATATATAGATAAAGATCCTTGCACTTGATCATTAGATTGCAAAAGCGGTCCTACAAACAAACAAAAATATATAAATATATATTATTATTATATTTTACAAAATTGATTTTTTTTAAAAAAAACAAACCAAGTTGATTTCCATCTGTTACTGTTGGAATAATTTTAATTAATATTTCAGATGATGATTTACACTTGCGGAATAATTCCTGTAATAATGAAAAATTATATGTATATGAATAATTTTTTCTTTTTTTTTTTTTTATAAAACAAAGATAATTTTTCTTACTTGTAATTCATAATCTTTTTCTAAATCAGATCCGGGGTTTAAAAAAGTAAGAGCATTAATAAGGTTTGTAGCGTTTTGTGTTGCCAACCCTATAGCTTCATTAATCTAAAAAAAAAAAAATTAAAACAATTAAAACAATTAAAAATAAGCAAATAAATATGAATAATCACGCGAAACAACATTGACCTTTTCTGAAGAATAGGTTACAGGTCGTCTTTCAGACTGCTGTCCTTTTTTAGATTGACCACCGGATGATTCGCTTTTACTTCTTTCCTTATTAACAATGGAGGGTGATGATGAATTGGTTGATTTTGATGCAGGCCCCCTTCTTGTATTACTTGCATGCACAAAATTATTAAGGTTGCTTCTAAAATTTACACTATCATGTAAATTTGCTAACGTTTCATATCCTGATCTATTTTTAAATTCTGTTGACCATTCTGCAAATAATGATAATAATTTTTTTTGAACTTTAGAATCAGTATACTATTAGTAATAAGTGAAAAAAAAATTCATCATTACTATTAATTTTTTGAAATCAGAAAAATCAATAATATAATGTAAAGAATATTAAAAGTACCGGAGATAATGCCATACTTCTAAGCCTATCGGTAAATTTATGCGTAGAAATTTGAGCTAAATTAAAATCGAAATTAAAATTCTTCTAATTCTTTTAGGTTTTTCCTAAAAACCAGAAAAAATTGTTATAACAAACCAACGAATTTATCACCACAATTTTCAGTCAAAGATTTTAAAACCTATAAAATTTATAGATTATAAATCGTAAAAGCATAAATACAATTCAATATATATATCTATATAATAAATAATAAATAATTACTGTTATTGCTCGAACTTGGGAATGTATATTTCCATATTTTAAAGCACGTTTTAACGCTTTACTGGCTTCTTTAGGTCTACGTAATCCCAAAATAAAAATTAAAATCAAAAATTAAAAGAATATAAATAACTTAAAAATAATTAAGAAAATTTATAATAAACAAACCCTGTAGATTGTATATTGATAACCTCACATAATTCAAACATATCATTGAAATCATCTTCCTTATATCTTTCTGACGTCATGCGTTCTAAATGAGTTAAATCGTTAGAATAATTTTTAAAATTTATTTATTTTTTTTTTAAAAAAATAAACTAATAAAATTACCTATCCATTCTGTCACAGCCGTTCTTGTAGTTGTTTTAAATACTCCCATTCTTTCTTAATTAATCTTAAATTAAATAACACAAGTAATAAGAAATAATTTAGATTTATCAATTCTCGATTTCATGGTTTTTTAATTAGTTTATTAAACTTTTCCGACAACACTTTGGAATATAATAACAAATAAATAATTTCAAAGAATGGATAAATTTTACCAAAAATAAAAGAAAAAAAAAGGAGATACGAAATAAATCGAAATAAATCGAAAGAGAACTTTGTAAAGAAGTTTTTTAATAACCCAAATATAAAACTTTTTACCGAACTTACCGGGTTGTCGGGTTGTCGGCAAATTGAAAATAAAATAATCACGTGACAGTTGATCAAATTTTTTACGCGTCTAAATACTGCCTAAATATATCATAATGCCTAACTTAAAACTTAAATGATCATCTTCGTTAATAGCCAAAAGGAACCTAGAAGGTTTATCATGTAGGGCAATAGCAAAGACAATTCAATATTCTGTTTTCAAAGTTTTTATATATTTAAGTATGGATGTGTAAAAAAAGATTTACTGCCATTATAAAGATACAAAATACTTAAAAAACCTTTTGAAAGAAAAGGTAAATTGGTATTTGTGAGAATTACAATCCAAAATGGAGTTATGATTAGACCATCAAATTTCTTATTGTACAATTTGAAGAGCTATATATCGGCTTGGTTATACACATTAACAAGTAAAATTTTATATATAATTTTATATTCAATTTTCTATAAATGTAATAATATTAATATTCTTAATTATTTATCATATTTATTTTTAGTAATCTAAATAAGCATAAGAACCAGTATATAAAATTCATGTGCATAATATGCACATATGTACAATTTTTTTAATACAGTTAACTCTTATTATAACGAACTCTATATCCTAGACCTCAACTTTACTATAAGGCTATAGTGAAGATTTTAAGAGATTTG